GGGCCACAAGCAAGGGCTCTATAGGCAGCCTCCAGGAGCTGGCAAAGAAAGGAAACCACTTCTCCTCCTGAGTCTCTAGCAGGCACACAGCCTTGCAGAACTTGGAATTTAACCAAATGGTACCTGCATCAGACTTTGGTCTCACAGAACTGTAAGATAATAAATTGTGTTGATTTCAGTCCATACATTTGAAATAATTTGTTTCATTACTCTCGCTGCCATCGAGTCAATGCCAACTTACAGAGACCCTGGAGGACCGGAGAGAACCACCCTGTGAATTGCCGAGACTGTAACTCTTTATGGGAGTTGAAAGCCTCGCCTTTCTCCAATGAGCAGCTGGTGGTTTTGAACTGCTAGCCTTGAGGATCGCAGCTCAACAAGAAACCAATATGCTACTAACGCTCCATAATTTGTTATAGCAGCATTAAAAACCAATACAGTGGGCGGGACGCTTTTTGATAAACAGTAGCTGATTCATTTATTCACCAAAAAAGAATTTCTTTTTGGAGAATATGAGATGTCCTGTTTAAATATAAAATTTGCCTACAGAACTAGTATGATTCAAAATAGTGTCTTATGCAAAATGTGTAAATACACACAGGTAGTTCCTGACATAACATTTGAGTTATGATCAACTGCACGTAAGACTTTCCTTTTGTTCCCTTTATCATTGATAATATGCACTACAGACAATGTTGTAGAGTGTAACTTGCTGGTTGTCATCATCGCCAAGTTCATAAGTAATGTTTACAACATCCAAAGACAAACAAAGATCAAATTTATAACATACTTATAATAAAACAATTAAAAAGAAATATTAAAAGCAAAACAGAGAATTACATCAGAAATAACTTACGACAGAGTTGTTAGAATAGTATTCTATGGTAAGTCGTAGAGTACCTGTATTTTAAATCCATTTGAAACTATGAAGAGAACAACCAATGTTAAATGTTACAGATGGGTGAGTCGTCAAAATCCCATGCCACCCAACACTTTAGTCCCAAAACATGGAGTATAACATGACCACCCTACTTATTCCTGTAATACTCACTCAATGAACTCCTGTTTACACTGCTGCAGCATCTCACATGTCTGCTGAATTTCTTGTTCACTCAGAAGCACCAGCATCCCTATAGTTAAGTGAAGCTTTTTGGGATTCTGGAAAATGCTGGCATCGACTCCACGATCCTGTTAATCAAAAGTAGAAAATAAGAAATTCAATAAATTCAATAAACAATCAAGAAACAATCCCAAAGAGAAAACAATGGGACCGACCGTTCCAGGGGGCCATGGGAGAGGGGGAGGTGGGGGAAAAGGAGGGGGGAGCCAACAAACCCAGGGACAAGGGAACAATAAGAGGTCTAAAATCAATGGCGAGGAGGGTGTAGCATGCCTAGTGGGGTTTGATCAAGTGCAATGTAGCTTAGAGGAATTCAAATGAAGGCCGAACATGATAGTGGGACAGGAGGAAAGTAAAAGGAAATACAGGAAAGAACTAGGAGGAAAAGACATTTATAGAGGTATAAATATAGGCATGTATATATGTAAATAAATTAATATATAACAATAGGAATATAGGTCTATGTACATATATGTTAAGTATTAAGGTAGGAGACAGACCTTGGGCCTCTACTCAAGTCCTCCCTCAATACAAGAACACTTTGGTCTAATAACCTGGCATTCTGTGATGCTCACCTTCCCAACATGATCGCTGAAGACAAAATGGGTGCATAAGCAAATGTGGTGAAGAAAGCTCATGGTGATAGCGTCTGGGGCTTTAAAAGCTTGA